AAAGAGCTAGTTAGTAGTCTAGGTGTGAAGTTGGACGCAGCACTAAAGCTGGATGCTCATATTAGTTCGCTGCTGCTTTTTTCATCTCCGCCACATTTCCAGGATTAAGCCACTAGTGTCACGGGCTCACCTGGAGACGTTAGTCCATGCTTTTATCACCTCTTGATTAGATTACAGCAACTCCCTCTACTCAAAACTGCAAAGCTGCTCTAGCTCAGCTCCAAATGGTACAAAATGCTGCAGCCAGATTCCTGACTGGCACCAGGAGGCATGAACACATCACACAAATCTTGGCTCATCTGCATTGGCTTCCGGCCTCTTTTAGAGTCAAGTTCAAGGTACTCACGTTTGTCTTCAAGTCACTACAGGGCCGTGCACCATCATACCTCTCTGACTTAATCACCCGTACACTCCATCGTGCCCTTAGAGGTCATCACAGCAGGAGTTGTTGGTCGTTCTGCGTGTGCGGTGCTCAACCATAGGTGGCAGGGCTTTCTCGGTCTGGGCCCCCAAACTGTGGAAGGACCTTCCATTAGAGATAAGACAAGCACCCTCTCTGGGGCAGCAGTAGCTCAACAGGTTGAGCGGGTTGTCCAGTGATCGGAAGGTTGCAGGTTCGATCCCGGCTCCTGACAGAGAATTCTGCTGTTGTGTCCTTGGGCAAGACACTTAACCCACCTTGCCTGCTGGTGGTGGTCCGAGGAACTGGTGGCACCTGTGCTCAGCGGCCTCGCCTCTGTCAGTGCGCCCCAGGGCAGCTGTGGCTACATCACCACCAGTGTGTGAATGTGTGTGTGAATGGATGAATGATACACTGTAGTGTAAAGCACTTTGGAGTCCTTACTCTGAGAGGCGCTATACAAGTGTGGGTCATTTATCATTTTTAAGAGCAGGTTGAATATCCATGTTTACACCATGGCACTCTACTAGCCTTCTTTTAGTCGTTCTTATCTAGTCTTCTAACTAATATCTTTATTGTTTTAATCCATTTTGTTTCATCTTAGTCACTGCACGGTTGCTGTTGTTTTACTTTTATATCTTTGTTGAGTGTACAGCGCTTTGGTTCAATCTCTCATTGATGGAAAGCGCTTTATAAATAAAGATGATGATGATTGAAGCTATTGATGTGGAGCACAATGTTGCTGCCATTAGAATAATTAGTAAACATGAGCAGGTCTGACCTGAGATCAGCATGTTCACTCAGACACGACCCATAATGTCCCAAGAATAAAGAAAATGATTCAACAAAAAATCTTACGTTCCATGACACACTGGATCTGTTGAAATAACACGAGGCAAAATGATTCCTTGTCTTATACCTAAAGAAAAAAATCTAAGTGGAATGAAAGGGAAAAAGGTTTCCATTTCACAAAAATATCCCAATTTCATTTGTCCGTCAGCTGAAGGGTTCAGAAACCGCAAGAAGAGAAAGAATTTGAACAGTTTTATCACCCAGAAGTTTCTAAACCCAATTCCAAAACAAAAAAAGAAAGGACGGCTTTGACTAGAAAAAAAAGATAGGCAGAGGAGAGACAGAGATAGATGGAGAGTAATAGAGGTACGGAAAGAGCGGTTATGTGTCAAACATGAAGACGGTGATGGGAGATGAAAGAAGAAAAAGGAGAGTGGGAGAAATTGGGCAAGGGGAGGAAGGGAATGGAAAATGAGACAGGAGGCGAAGGTTAGGAGGAGTTTTGAAACAGATGGAAATATCTGAGGAAGGAGTGAGATGGAGAAGAGGAAGGTCAGGGAACGAGGAGAACGTGTCTGATATGGGTCTGAGGAGTTTTATCTCGTCTGTGCACACTCTCAGATATCTAAATGAGCAACACACACACACACACACACGCACGCACGCACACACACACACACAGAGTAACAAAACATTCTAGTGTGGAGAAGGAAAGGGGAGATGAAGATGAATACAGGAAGCCTTTCAACAAAGGAAGAAGGTTTAGACAGAAAAGTCACAAGGAAGGAGAAGTGAGTGATAGAGAGAAAAGAGAAGGAAACAGTGATAGATGAGATGGATGGATGGATGGATGGATGGGGACATGACAGAGATTCATAGCCTCCTTTCAGAGGAAGGGCTGAGTAAACTGGCAGAGCAGGTTGGGAGCTGAAGGAGGGACTGAGGAGGAGTTAGAAGGAGAGGGGAGAAAAGATGGGAAAATAAGGTTGAGAGAGAAAAGAGGAGGAAGAGAGGTAATGAGAGATAGACCACGACTTCGTAATCAAGCCATAAAGGAGATGTGGAGCAAGGGGGAGAAGACGAGTGGGCTCTGAATGAGTCAATCATGATTAATCAAGACGCTTCTTGCTCTCTCTCTGCTCAGACACGTCATCATTTTACACACACACACACACACACACACACACACACACACACACACACTATGCGTTTCCATCACTTTACACACAAGCTCTCTGGATGCATTCAGACAGTTTACAGGCCCCCAAACTGACACCTTCTTCAATGAGGTGTTTTATCAACTTGTTGGAAGTTTCAGATCACCTGCCTCACACAAAAGCATGGAGTCGATGTGGACTGGGAGGGGCTGCACAGCGGAGTGGCAAGAAGGCTACCAACTTCCTGTTAAAAGATGCGGTGGTGTAGGCAGAAAGGTGTAAGGAGCATGGCAGGAAAAGAGCACACCAACAGCTAACATCTTTAACAGCCACAACCTCGATCGATGTGAAGCGCTGAGTCTTGATGTTCAGTTCACGGGAGTGCCCATCTTGTGTTTCTGGTGCCAAATTATGAACACGCAAGATCTGGAGCTAAATGCGCTGCTCACTCGCCCACTCATGGTGCATTTTGGGCTTCAAATACCCAATCACAGCCGAGTAAATCAGATAAACAAGTATCTGAACATGCAGTTGGAGAGGCTTAAAACCTATACTGCAGCCAGCCAGTAGGGGGACGTTTGTCTTGTTTTGGCTTTGACTTCCAGCTTTTTCTCAGATGTCTACTTTCTTTTAAATGTCAAGAGTTGTTTACTCTTGGAATGATGATGATTCCTGTTTATGTTCCAGAATTCTACACAGAAAAAGAAAAGAAATCCTGAATGATGAAGCTTACCGGTTCGATTAGCGTGGCTTCTCTAGATTGTTTACACCAGCAGATGCAAAACAACAAACACAGAGACAGACCCCATCCAACCTTCTTCCTTCAGACAAAAGATTGAGCATCCTCAAAGCCTGGACAACAAAGATAATGAACAGCTTTGCACAACATGATCTTAGGTGTTGACAACTTAAGGTAATTTAGGGGCAAATTCTCTCATATCTCCCAAATGAGTCAAACACTACTGATTCGTACAAGATACCGTTTCTCATGAATTTCTGTTTGTGTTTTTAAACTGAATCAAACATCTTGACTTCTGTGTTAGATTTGACTATTTTCACAAACCTTTTCATTACTTAAGAAAGCCCGACTTAGGTGAGCAGATAAAACTCTACCCTTCTCTCCAAAACTAGAACAAAAGGAAATAATTAACAGTAACTTTGAATTGATTGGAAGTTACTTTTTTCTTCTAATGTGCACCGTAGAGAAAGCTTCTCTCCATCTCTGCTGCTTGTGAAGAGTGTGAATCTTCAGACAGAAAGAGGAAAAAATAGGGCACTTTCATATTTAAGTGTCAGATCCAGAGCTGTCTGTGGGGAGAGAGAAACAGAGAGGGAGGGAGGAAGGGCTGCAACCACAGGAACTCAGAGGGCTCACAAGCCTTCCTCTGTTTTCTCTATCGCTTAACACACACACGACTGCACAGTGGAAAGGCAAACAGAGGGAGAGAAAAGGAAGGAAGGAAGGGAAAAGAAAGTAAAAAGAAACAGAGGAGGAAATGGGAGTCCATGCTTGTGTGAGCTGTGATGATACAAAGAAATCTCAGAGCAGAGTCCAAATGAGGATTATGTTTCGGTTCTGAGCGGGTCATGATCCTCCGTCTCGGAGATGTCACATTGATGTTGGGTACCCACAACCCAGATCCCTCATCAGTGCTGTTAAAAGGACAGGAAGCCTCCTCCCTGCTGAAATTACCTGATGGTTTTAGGTCACAGGAAACCTAAATCAACACCTCCTCCTGGTGGATCTGATGGGAACTGCAGACAAGCAGAAGAGCTCAGATCTGTCATTTATCCAGATATGTCTTTAGGATAAGGGTTTCAAAATAAGAGTTTTCAGCAACGTAGGATCTGGACTTTGATTCATGACTAAATTATTTCTATAAAAGAAACTAACAAACACAAATTCATAAATTTAAATAAACATCAATGTAACACATCTGCTCGAGCTACTAAAATCAACCTGCAACTCAAAAATCTACTTTTTTAAAATCAAAGTCCTGCTTGTTAGAAACCTTTGAGGCAATTTAATCAAAAGGGGAATTTTATCCTTAATTTACTAAAGTGTTGATTTAGATTTCCTAGAATATTAAATCAAAGTCCATGATGTGCACCAAGTGAACTTGAAGCTCAAAGTGAAGATTTAAAAATGGATTTCAATCAACATAACTTCAGAATACAAAGTTTTTGACTTTAAGGTAAAACTGAATCATCAAAAGCCAAAATCACACCATATGTATGCAAAGACCAAAACCACAAATGTCCACTGAGCTCACCAAAAACTGTTCACTATTATGATGTCATGTCAAATAAACCCCAAAAGCTGTCTGACACGTCAAACTGGTTTAAGATGCTGATGCTGTCAAACGTTATTACAGGGGTGCCCAGTCCTGGTCCTGGAGAGGTATCCAGCATGCTAGTTCTAACCCTGCTTCAACACACCTGATTTCAATCAGCAGGTGATTAACAGGCTTCAGCAGAGCCTGATGAGCTGCTGCAGGTGAGTCAACCACTGAATCTAGCATATTGGAGCAGAGAAACCACTAAAATGTGCTGGATTTCCACCCTCCAGAACCAGGATTGGGCACTCCTGCGTTACTACGTCATGTTTTACAGTCACAACAGAGTTTGGAGACATCGACTGAAACAGCAGAGATGATTTGATTGATTTTATTTGTAAGGCACCAGAAGTCCTTCCGTACTGCAGAACATTTCATATCATTAATAGTAAATTTTTGTTGCAGTTTTTTTTACTTTATTTTGTTTAAACGAAGCTATGATTTCAGACACAAAACATTTTTTTTTCTTTTTTTGTCAAAGTACACACTTTTTGTTTTACATTATACACAAAATAAGTATTTAAAAAAAGGACTTTTACAAAGCTCAAAACGCTTACAATGCTTCACGCTATGGGGGCAGAAAGTCAGAGTCAGGATCAGGGTGAGGAGGGGTGGGGTGGGGGGGTTGAATGATTACAGGGTTAAAAAAAAGTTAAAAGTACTGCAGTTTCCCCCTGGTGTCACATCAGATTTGTAACAAACAGCACAAGAATCATCCAGGACAGACGAGAGAAGATGCAGCCATTTACACATAAAGCTTTCTATGTATAACTGTATAGAGGCAAGCACCTCCCACTACTTGTACAAATACATACGTTTTATTTGTGTTTATAATGTCAGCTGTTGTTCTCTTAGTTCACAGAGAATAAAACAAAGAGGGAGGAAAAGTAATCAAGTGCATTGATCACAAAAAAGTTTGAATCAATCAGAAGAGGGCTTCGCTGGTTCCCCTGCAGACATGCACAGATGTGAGCATTTCTGTCTCTGCAGATCACTAGGACCGCTGCACGGAGCTAGATACAAACGGCGTATGGTTAGATGGGAGGACAATGTGCTGCCAGCTTATTTCACAAGCAGATTAATGTGTTGTCGTGGAAACGGCGACGCCTTTGCCACCAAACCACCAGACCTGTACACCTGTTTATACACCACGTTATACACATAAATACACAACAGCGGGCTTCACTGAGGTGGGGTTTTACTGTCTGATGCCTAAAAAACAATGATGAGTTATTTGTCATGTCTATTGTTAAAAACGTGCAAATTATTAGAGAATTCCCTCCAGGCAGCAACTTAAGAGTGTGACGTAACACGAGTGTTTTATTAACAATATGAGCTAATAGTGTTTCAGTTTAGTGTTCAAACTTCATTTATAAAAATAATTCATTTTTTTACCCACTTTGGTTGAGATTATGCTGCAACAAGGTTTAAGGAGTTGACCTGAACTGTAAAAAGTTCAATATTTGAAGTTTTAAGGAATTTTTTAATCCCAATTTTTGTTGAAAGAAAAACGTATCAAAATTAAATTGACTAGATGATCTAATACTAATAATCTAACATGTTCAGGTCAAAGTTCTTATTATGTGTAAGATATAAAAATATTCTGAATTTAAAATGACTGCGAGTGTTTCCATCTTTTGACGGAGACTAATGTTTGTCATCTGCTGTTTTTAACAGTGATTATAGTCTTATGAGGGGAAAATCTTTGGGGTTGTTAATAAATTACCATTTTAATCCAGAGACCCTGTTTAACACATTCAATTCTATTTATTCACCTACACTGTCACAGAAGACCGCTTCCATGCACACTCCCACCAAACTTACCTTAGAGGCCTAATCGGACTAAATCATGTTTTTTTTTCTCCCACTTATTTGATCATGTATCCACTTGTGCTTCATTTGTGCATGAACGCCGTTCATATTACGTTTTCCCCAGTTTCTGTTAACTTTTGTATTTAAATGTGACAGATGTGTGAACAAAGAAGCACAATGGTGAGTTTTTATTTATGAATTTACACAAATAAACTGACTTTCTATGGTGGAGTATTCAGAGACTGAGCCTTTGCCACATGCATTGCTAGATATCCACAGTCCAGAGATTGTGTATTAGACGTGTGTGTAATCAGTTTGTATTAGGTTTGTGTGTATTAGGTTTGTGTGTATCAGGTTTGTGTGTATCAGGTTTGTGTGTATTAGGTTTGTGTGTATCAGGCATGTGTGTATCAGGCATGTGTGTATCAGGCATGTGTGTATCAGGCATGTGTGTATCAGGCATGTGTGTTTCAGGCATGTGTGTATCAGGCATGTGTGTATCAGGCATGTGTGTATCAGGCATGTGTGTATCAGGCTTGTATGAATCAGGCTTGCTCACTCAGTGTGAATAGACAAACGTTTAAATTTGATGCAGACTTGTTCTTCACCTGCTAAGAAGTTTGCTCAACGGTAATCACTGCCCTCTGCTGTCAGACTCCAAGCACACATGGTCCCTACAACTTCTGCTTAAAGGGATACTTTGTTACATTTTCAAATGTTTTACCATTTTCTTGAGCTAGTATGTGCTAAAACGACCCTTTACAGGGTTAATGAAAGGCCACCCAGTCCCTGTCGCCCCATGGCCAGAATATTCCACTTGCAACTTCAGAGCTGCCGATTTGTTGGAACTTAGAAAAATTGAGCTGAAAAACCTGGCGCTGCAGGCAACTCATTTCCTGCATGTTTAAGATCACGAACACTGAAAATTTTGGGCACTAAGGAAGGCTGGGGAGAAGTTTCAGCTGTTAAGATTAAGGTGTTAAAAAGGTGAACGCATAGTGAGAAGTAGAGCTGTGCGATACGGCCTAAAAATAAAATCTCAGATAAATGTTTTTATTCGATTTACGAATTTTTTCCGATTCTCTCTCCCCCTCAATTATTAAGAATAGCAATAAGTACAAATGAATGGCACATTAAAGCCAATTTAGTTTTTTATTTAATCACAAGCAAGACAAATATAACCCTCGTTTCTGAGATGAATAATGAATAAATGAAAATCTAGTGAACAGTTAGATACTTAATTTTTAAATCGCCTGCAACAAAAAATTCAAATTCATTAAATTGATTTATCGCCCAGGTCTAGCGAGAAGGAAAGTTTTGCTTTCAGTTGTACAAACACACTAGGGGGCGCTAAAAGCAAGCCAAAACTGCCTAGTTCCTCTAGTGCACATTAGAAGTTTTAATAAGGTGGCAGGTCAGTTGTGTGTGTCTCAGGTTGTGCTACCTGATTAATAAAACCTTAGGTGTATTAGCTAACGATTTCTCCTTTTGTATAAACTGGATAATTTAGACCTTTGAGGTATTATTTTATGGACTTCTCTGACTGGTGACAACCTGCATCTTTAACTCCCCATGAATAAAATAAAACAAATGTAAGACTTAGGGAGCTGAGTTATTGCTGATCAGTGTGAAACTGTTCTTTTAGAAGCGTCTAAGAGTCTCAAGTTGTGTCGAATATGTTTTATGGTCCGTCAGGTTTTCCATTTTAACACCAAGAGAATGATGTTTTCAGTCTCACAGACCCATTCTGGCAAACAAGAACCTGTGCAGAAACGAAGCAAGAGCCTGGAAGAGAGTAGGAGGAGGAGGAAGGTGTGAGAGATGGAGCAAAAACCACAGAAACTAAAGAGAAAATGAAGAAAACGATGACGGAAGAGCTGAAACATGATCAAAAAAGACCTTAAAAACAAATAGAAAAGAGTAATTAAAATGCTATTTTGCTGAGAGAAAGAAAAACTCTTATTACTGCTAATATAAGGAGATCAGTGTGGCAAAGACTGGTTAGAGGTCTGAAGCTGCATTGATGAGACAGAAGCCCGCGTTGGATCGGTTGGAGGAGGAGACCATGGGAGAGGCTGTGGGGCCAGACCTGGAGATTCTGGTCTCTGTGATCAAAGAGCTGAACACCATCTAATCAGACTTGTCTCCGTCCTCCTCACGGTGGCTGTCCACACCATCGCGAGAAGCCTTGTCCTCCTTGGCCAGCTGGGCTTGGGAGGCCAGCAGGGAGGAGAGGGAGAAGAGACCCGAGGAAGAGGTGACGGCTGGGAGGGTTGGCTGGCTCAGGCCCAGGGGCAGGGGGGTCATGGGCAGGGCCAGACCCTGGAGCTGAGACAGCTGGTGAGCCTGGAGCTGCTGCTGCAAGAAAAGCAAATGAACAACTCAGAGCCAGCAGACAGATCCAGAACAACAGAGTTAAGATCCTGGTGGGTTCAGGTTTCAGCCCAGGGCGACACTGGGTCCACTAAAACAACTCATCAAAATCGTAAAACTCCAAAGGACACAATAAAGTTATGACAGAGTAAATAACATTATACGGGCTAGTTGATAATAAAAGTATTAAGATCAGTGTTTTAAAGCTGTAATGGCTAATTTGGAAAGCAAGTTAGCTTAAAACATTATTTTCATGCCTCTTAATGTTATAACATAATATAAATATAAATATACCGTGGAGATTAAAAATAGCTTTTTCATTTATTTAAAAACCCCTACCAATAACATGGCTTGAACGAAAAGCAACTATTGGACCATCTGGTTGTTGGGACCAAACCACCGCACGTCCCTGGGTCCTCCACTCATCACACACTCACGTATTTAGCAACAGAACACCACTGGTGTGAGAGGTACATGGCTCAGTAATATCAGAGAAGGAGAAACAGCCGGCTGCTACCAATTCTACTTTAGGACAAACTACCAGAGTCCCAAAAAGAAAATCACCATTGGAAGTGACGGACAAAAGACGTTTGGATGTAGAGAATGGTGACTGGTGTTTAGCGGCACTTGTTTCCTCTGGTCATGTGGGTTCTGGTATCAGGCCAGCGTGGTCTAGGGATGATAGCAGACAGGAGGGGCGAGTGTTCCGTGACTGTGTTTGTGTTTAAAAGCTAACTTGGGGGGGCTCGCAGGCCGCCTATAAGTACCACTGATCTACGCCCTGGAGCCTCATGTCCACTGACCTTGTTGGCACAAAACGGGGAAGGTCGGCTCGCTAATATTTCTGTCATGGTTGTAAAGCTAGTCCCGACAACCTACCCAGACCAGGCCAGTTACAGGACGTTTTTTGGCCCCCTTCCATTGTAGGTCCTGAAATTTGTGGAGCGGCATGGTTAGGGCGGAGCAACAACACAGTCCACTGATTGGGGCACAAAATGATGTCACTACATGCAACAAGCAAAACAAACCTCGGAGTTCCGTTGTTTGTGTTTTCATTAGTTGTACACGAATGTGAGAAAACTCTAGCAAGTAGCAGCAAGTTTTGGTCAACTTCAGAGCTCCACACATTCCTCACCATCGTCGTGAGAATCTCCACTCAGGAGGAGCTAGACTGATTAAGGAATGTAATAAGATTTTCTCAGTGGGTGGCAGCCAAAGGATTCGAGCAGACGTTGGGCCAAGCTGAGAAAATGAAAGCCTAATATAGAAAAGTTAAGGACAGAAATAGGGATGCACCGATACTGGTATCGGTAAAAGTTAACCGATACCAGGAACCGATACCACCGATACCAATGCAGTTGCTTGAAAATGGCTTCACTGTAACTTGTCATTTCTGTTCACCTAATATTTTAGTTTTGTGAAGATTTCTATTCATATATTTTGCTTTTTATCTACCTCACAGTCTGTTCCTGTTGAAAGCAGAGAAGAAAATAAAATCTGTATTCCAAATCATTGCATTTTTGTGTGTGATAGAAGTATCGTATCGGTAATCGGTATCGGCGAGTAATGGGTACCGAATTCGGTACTTTTTAAGGTACCGACCGAATTCCATAGTACCGACCGAGCACCGATTCACGTCATTTCAAACGGTGCATCGTTTCGGTACCCGTCCATCATAACGAGAACTTGCCAAGACAGCTGCGCATGCGCAAGAGCGTTATGTCGTCGCTCGCTGCGAACCAGTTGTAAACAGAGCAGCATGGTAGAAAGAATGCACGCTAAAGCTTGGGTCCACTTCACTAAATGTGATGATGAAACCAGCGACAACGATCTAAGTGAGACATCCTCATCTTAATCTGCTCTGGTAGGTAAATATAATTAGCTTGATATGTTAGCTTCCATTTCGCTAATGGTGCGTTCGCTTTCTCCTCGGAACTCCGAATTCCCGACTAGAAGAACATGAACGCGCTCTAAAGTTTGGCTTCACTTTACTAAATGTGACGGGTGAAGATGAAACCAGTGACAACGATCTAAGTGTGAGGCATCATCGTTTTAATCTGCTCCAGCAGCTAAATAAACTGTTTAAGATAACGTTAGCTTGGTATGTTAGCTTCCATTGAAGAACTACAGGGAGGTGCTACGAAGGAGGCTAGAACCAGCCAACCGAGGCAGACCTGGACTTAGTGACCGCATTCTGGAGTCACTTGTGGTGTTTTTGTCTTTAGCTCTGCAGACAGTTTATTACAGCATAAAAATCCTGAATAGTTGCTCAACTTATTTCTAAAATTGCTGAGGCTCTAATGTCCAGAGGATCCCCCTGCAGCAGGCTGATCGCTGTTCAGCAATAATATTGATCATTTATCCTTTCAGGGTTTGAGCTCTAATGCAAGATTCTACTAGCACAGAATAATAAAAGGCTTAAGCTTATTTTCACAAAAAAGAAGCTTTTGTAATCAATAAGTCAATAACTAAAGGTCACTAGACAAGGGAACTGGTTAAATACTGGGTGGGGCTGGAACATCTTACCCTTATGATGGAGTTCATCTCTGGAGGGGTGACCTGCTTGGCCCTCTCTATGGCTGCCAGGACCTGCTGCTGGTGCTGCAAACGGTGTGTGTGTGTGTGTGTGTGTGTGTGTGTGTGTGTGTGTGTGTGTGTGTGTGTGTGTGTGTGTGTGTGTGTGTGTGTGTGTGTGTGTGTGTGTGTGTGTGTGTGTGTGTGTGTGTGTGTGAGTGAGGAGGAGGAAAGTCAGACATAAAACAACAGTGAGACAGAAACAAGGGGAGGCGAGTTTGGGAGGGGAGAGAAAGGTGGAGAGGTTAGATCAATATCAATAGTCCCAATGGACACCCCCACCCCACTCTACCCCCCACCACTGATGTACCTCACCCTCTGTCCATTTAGCTAGTCATCCAGTCATATGTACACACAAACACACACACATACACACACACAAAAGCCTGGTGTGACACTGCTAGATGAATGGTCGACTTGTGGGTTATAATGGGTAGAGGTCAACCCCTGGTGGGCAGATGGCTTATCTGAATCACACAGCCATTTATTGCACTGAACACACAGCAGCGCACGCACGCACACATGCGCACACACACACACACACACACAGACACACACACACACACACACACACACACACACACACACACACACACACACACACACACACACACACACAAAGAAAGGAAGAGTTGGAAAGAGGAGGAGGAAGCTGGGAGGGGGAGGAGGTCTAAAAGGAAGGAGTCATTGGAGGAACAGCCACGGTGAAGGTTACAGATCAAATATGGTGGAGGGGGAGAACAGAGGTGGAAAAGAACACAGGAAGCCAAAGATGAAGAATGATAAGAGGAGAGAAAAGAGGGGTCACCAAGGTGGAGAGGTAATGAGGCGGAAATGAGGGTGATCTCCTTCCAGGAAGTGAGGCATAGAGGTGTGGGTCAGAGGGTTAGCAGCAACGTGGTTATTAACGTGTGTGTGAGTGCTTACCTCCTGAGACAGGTATGGGAGGACTTGTGCGCAGATCCCATTTAATCTTTTCACTATTTCAGCCTGTGGAAACAGTTAAAGAACAACTCCTGTCAAAAGACGCCATCATAGCAACACTAAAGGTGTTCTGTCTATTTAATGTATAGTGGGGCAAAAAAGTATTTAGTCAGCCACCGATTGTGCAAGTTCTCCCACTTAAAATGATGACAGAGGTCAGTAATTTTCATCATAGGTACACTTAAACTGTGAGAGACAGAATGTGAAAAAAAAAATGCATGAATTCACATGGCAGGATTTTTAAAGAATTTATTTGTAAATCAGGGTGGAAAATAAGTATTTGGTCAATAACAAAAATTCAACTCAATACTTTGTAACATAACCTTTGTTGGCAATAACAGAGGTCAAACGATTACTATAGGTATTTACCAGGTTTGCACACACAGTAGCTGGTATTTTGGCCCATTCCTCCATGCAGATCTTCTCGAGAGCAGTGATGTTTTGGGGCTGTCGCCGAGCAACACGGACTTTCAACTCCCTCCACAGATTTTCTATGGGGTTGAGGTCTGGAGACTGGCTAGGCCACTCCAGGACTTTCAAATGATTCTTACGGAGCCACTCCTTTGTTGCCCGGGCGGTGTGTTTGGGATCATTGTCGTGTTGGAAGACCCAGCCACGTTTCATCTTCAAAGCTCTCACTGATGGAAGGAGGTTTTGGCTCAGAATCTCACGATACATGGCCCCATTCATTCTGTCCTTAACACGGATCAGTCGTCCTGTCCCCTTAGCAGAAAAACAGCCCCAAAGCATGATGTTCCCACCCCCATGCTTCACAGTAGGTATGGTGTTCTTGGGATGCAACTCAGTATTCTTCTTCCTCCAAACACGACGAGTTGAGTTTATACCAAAAAGTGCTACTTTGGTTTCATCTGACCACATGACATTCTCCCAATCCTCTGCTGTATCATCCATGTGCTCTCTGGCAAACTTCAGACGGGCCTGGACATGCACTGGCTTCAGCAGCGGAACACGTCTGGCACTGCAGGATTTGAGTCCCTGCTGTTGTAGTGTGTTACTGATGGTGACCTTTGTTACTGTGGTCCCAGCTCTCTGCAGGTCATTCACCAGGTCCCCCCGTGTGGTTCTGGGATTCTTGCTCACCGTTCTCATGATCATTTTGACCCCACGGGATGAGATCTTGCGTGGAGCCCCAGATCGAGGGAGATTATCAGTGGTCTTGTATGTCTCCCATTTTCTGATAATTGCTCCCACAGTTGATTTTTTCACACCAAGCTGCTTGCCTATTGTAGATTCACTCTTCCCAGTCTGGTGCAGGTCTACAATTCTTTTCCTGGTGTCCTTCGAAAGCTCTTTGGTCTTGGCCATAGTGGAGTTTGGAGTCTGACTGTTTGAGGCTGTGGACAGGTGTCTTATACAGATAATGAGTTCAAACAGGTGCCATTAATACAGGTAACGAGTGGAGGACAGAAAAGCTTCTTAAAGAAGATGTTACAGGTCTGTGAGAGCCAGAGATTTTCCTTGTTTGAAGTGACCAAATACTTATTTTCCACCCTGATTTACAAATAAATTCTTTAAAAATCCTGCCATGTGAATTCATGGATTTTTTTTCACATTCTGTCTCTCACAGTTGAAGAGTACCTATGATGTAAATTACTGACCTCTGTCATCATTTTATGTGGGAGAACTTGCACAATCGGTGGCTGACTAAGTACTTTTTTGCCCCACTGTATCGTGCTTTACTTAGTGATCTTTACACAAATGTAGGTCTTTTTATTCACAACAGCAAAATGACATCATCTGTCAAAAAGTACAGGTGTCCAATCCTGAAAAGATGGCAGTTCCCTTCAGCTTTTTGTTTCAGACCCTGCGTATTCCTTATGCTGGTTCATGGTCATTATCTGGAGGCAGACGTTTCCTGTTTTGTAAATGTCCGTTTGTGTTGTTGAGGAAGAGATGGTTATCTGTCGTCTGTCAATGAACCATCACCATAACACCTTTGGATAAATACGCTATTTACAAGTCAAACTGGTAGCTTAAAATGACTATTAAACAAATTAAACAACAACAAAAAAACAATACCAACAAACTTGGGTTGATTAGAAAGAGAAAGCCGACATAACCATCAACGAACCAGAGGACTCCCAAAGCGCTTTAGCGCAAAGTGCATCATTCACACACACACACACACACACACACACACACACACACACACACACACACACACACACACACACACACACACACACACACACACACACACACACACGTTACACAACAGCAGAATTCTGCTCTGGGAGCCGGGATCGATCCAACAACCCTCTGATTACTGGACAACCCGTAACGGTAAGTAACGGTAGAAAGGTAACCACTTGATTCTCCATGGCATTAACATCTTCCTCTCCTGGCCTTCCTACATTATCAGTGTTGACCGCCCCTGTGAATGTTTGGGGTTTGATGCGGAGTCCTGTAATGATAACATCGTTCATCTGGGTGTACTGTTCCAAATCCTCCACTCTATTTTCCAAGTACGCCAGACGATGATCCTTCTCAGCGTTCTGTATGCGGAGAGCCTTGACTTCCTCAACCAGATCCAGAATGGCTTTCTGTTGCAGTTTAACTGTAGAAATCACCTCTGACATAAACTCAAGCGACCTCTTAATATCTTCGCCTTCCTCGGATGAAAGAACCTTTTTTGGGCACATGATACCGTAGTAGCTAGAAGCTAGTAGACTGGTGGCAGCTTAATGGCAGCAGGATTGGTGGGTCCCCACAGTTTGTTCTCTGGCCGGCCTGGTGGTGGAGGCTGGTAGCCTGGTAGCCGCTGTTAGCTTCAACCAGCCACTCGACTGCTTCCTTCCCACAAGGAGGGGTAGAAACCCCAGTGAATGCAAAAGGTCCAGTCAACGATGTTCGTGTTCTTCGATGAAGTCAACTATGTCTTTCACCAGTGCAGGAACCTCGTAGCCACTGGTCGTGTGTGTGCGTGAAACCTCTTCTAAAGGAACACCAAAAACTCGAGTGATGCTGGCTGAGCTCCCTCTCTCGTTGCCTGATTATCGCCAGATGTACAGGATTTCAATCATTCAGACGCTGATGGCGATGAGCTACATTGTGGCCACAGGCCCAAAAACTAACGTGAATCTAGTTTTGAACAAGCAACTCACCAGTTACATGGTGCACTCCTAAGCCCTGAGACAAACCCATACTGTATTTGTTGTATGAGTTCACTCAAGTCTTACATTTCTATGACTTTATTCAGCAGTAGCAAAGAAGACGCCAACTTCAACAAAAAGTGGACGAACATTTCCAGAATTCTACTTTACACCAAAGTAGCATTCTGTTATTTTTGATAAATAATGTAATAAACAATTATTCTACAGTGATGAGTCTAAATGTCCACTGTCTCTTAACACCGATGACTAAATATCTCACTACCTCCAGGATGGTTTTACCTGATTGTATTCTTAGAAAATTAGAATTTATTTAATCAGTTTCAAACATTTCTCCTACATTTCTAATAATGTATGAAGGTGACTAAAGAGGATAGATTTTATCTTACTTAATTTGGTGAAGCAGATTCCAGCCAAATGGCTCTCATTATTGAGGTCTTTAAATAAATAAATAGTCATTCATTCATTAATTAAAATGCATTAAAGATGCTGTTCATAGTTTTCCCCTTTCAGGAATATGTATGCTTTTTCAGAAGTGATTGTCTGTGATATATTATAGGAAATATGTCTTTATTGTTTTTGCTAAGATCAAGCAAAACATAATCCAGCAGAATAATGACGAATAACATCTACCAGCTGATAGCAGTAGTTTCCCAAATGGGAGAGCATGTATAGCTGTAAACTACTGAGATCAAAAGGTTTCTATTGAAAACAGCTGTGGTCCTAGAAAATAACAGTAGAATACCACAATCTCAGATGGCTGAGACAATAACTTAAAGCTAAAAGACCACAGAAAGCCCCTCTGACAATGCTGATGTTTAATTATCTTTGAGGGATTAAAATTCACACCACCATCAGTGTGGGAAACTTCTACCATGACCTTCTCAAACTGGGAAAGTAAATCTGGCCTCACACTCACACCCATCTTTCTAACTCCTCTCATTAATGAAGTAGCTTGTAGCTAATACTCCCTCAGAACTCATGGATACAATTTCACTCAAACACAAAGTAACAATCACCGATGCAGGCACAAAGACTCCTTTTCTCTTCCACCTTGTGCACGCTCTCCGTCTTTCTTCCATGCAGATCTTTTATCATATTTGGTTGATAATCATCCTATCCGTCTGAGATATGCAAAGCAGGAGTAACTGTGTTAGAGCCTAATTCACGGTGTGATGAGGAGCGAGGGGCCCTCCTAACTATCATTAGGAATGCAGAACACTGCTCCCCATCAGGAGCTCCACTCTGATCTGCTTGTAATCACACACACATACGCATGCACACACGCACAATCTCCCAATCATCTCTAAAAATGTCTGAGAACCGCCCCATGCCATATATAGCTTTTCCTCTTTTCACTGCCCTTTAGTCATGTCCTTCTTATTTAAATCTAAATCCGTTACCATTTGTTTCCCTGAGTATCTCCCCTGGACTTCATTCTAAATTCTGCTTTCCCCTCAAATTATCCGTATTAAACCTTCTATTGAAGCCCTTAAGTATTCACAAAGCAGTAAATCACATTGTAGACGGCCCAGTTTGATGACGGAACAAAAATTAGCACAATATAAATGCAGCAGTCATTTTCACAAGTGTCTCTTTTTCCACGGGCACCTGATGCATTCTACTAACATGACCACTAGGTGGCAGTAATGCAACAAGTAGTGTATGTTCAGCTCCTTTTGGAGCTTCATCCTTACCTTTAATAGCACATGAAGAATTTAAATTAAAACCAGAGAAAGTAATTTGTCATAAATTATAAAACTAGCCCTGGTTTAGGTGGATCATATACATTAAATCAGAATGATGTGATAATGGCGCGATTGAGCTCAGTGTGTTTGCTCCCATCATGGAGTCAGGAACAGTTTGTTGTTGTAGCAATACAAGTGAGACATTAATTAGCACCGGATGAGCTAAGAGTGAAATAAACACAAGTTGTAAAATGTGCAAATTGTTGGCACTCAAGTTTCTCTGTCTCTCTCTCTCTCTGTCTCTCTTTCTGTCTCTGTCTGTGTGTGTGCGCGTGTGTGTGTGTGCGCGCGTGTGTGTGTGTGTGTGAGAGAGAGACTGGGAGGGAGGGAAGGAGGGATAAAGAGAAAGTAGTGTTGACTGAATATTTAAGGACCACGTTCACTCGTTCAATACATCTGCAGTGGTCTCCAATATGAATAAATGCCTTGTGAGTCCATCTCTGTGGTGGGTGGTGGTGGGGGGCTTGCACTCATGCTTCAAGAAGTAGAAGTTAATTAGAGAGGAGAGCAGAAAACGGTGGGATTTTGAGTCTTGTTCGTTTTTTTTTTTCATGATATTCAGACATCTCACCTCTACTTGGCTAACAGCAACACAACTCTACCACTGACTCCATTTGTTCTGCAACGCTGACTTATCTTCACAAATCAAGTCCCATTAGTGAAACACACTAATGAAATTCATCTCCACCTTTGACCCATCCCGGTGGATGAGCTGCAGCTGTGGCCACAGGGAACTATGTAAAGCTGGGTGTAATGCATGGAGGCATTGGGTCCCATTTTTAAATCATTGGTATCACCAGACTGGGACTTGAACCCTGATCTCCCAGTCCCAGGGCAGACACTTTACCACTAGGTCACTGGGTAGTTCCGTCATATTGTGGAATTACTAAAGCTAATGGTTAGCTTCAACTAGCCGAGACGTGCTCTGCTCTCTCCTGGACGCTAAATCAAAAACAGCCTTCCCCTTTGCAAAGCTGAAATAGGTGAGTCCATGAATGCTAATTGTCAGTGTGACGTAGATCTGAATGGCTTTTCTAATTTGAGCTAGCCTGACAAGCCAGAATAAATAATATATTATTTAGGGATGGACAATATATTGGCATCAATATCGGTATTGGCCGATGCTAGTCATTTTTTAATATACTGGTATCGGTTCGATAAGTAAAAACCGGTCCGATATTAACAACCAATATTTTTTCCATCTTGTATCTATTTGTTTGCCTGTTTCAGAGGGTGAGGGGGGTGATGTGTAATTATTTAGTCATATGAACAGTGAATGAAATAATCTCAGAACCATAAATGTGTGTGCTGTGTGTACATAATAACGTTAATTCAGCTTTAATAATTTTCATTCTATACAAAATCTGCTGATTTTAGAAGCATTAATGTCAGTATATCGATATCAGCAAATATCGGTAATCGACCATAACATCCATCCAGCCATCCATTTTCTGAACCCGCTTGTCTATGTAGGGTCGCGGGGGGGCTGGTACCTATCTCCAGCGGTCAACGGGCAATCAGGCGGGGTACACCCTGGACAGAGAGCCAGTCCACCGCAGGGCAACACAGAAACACACAGGACAAACAATCACACACACACACACACTCACACCTAAGGACAATTTAGACAGACAAATTAACCTAACAGTCATGTTTTTGGACTGAAGGAGGAAGCCGGAGTACCCGGAGAGAACTCACGCATGCACAGGGAGAACATACAAACTCCATGCAGAAAGATCCCAGGCCGGGAAGCGAACCCAGGACCTTCTTGCTGCAAGGCAACAGCTCTAACCACTGCACAGCCCTCGACCATAACAGTTATCTCAATATCAGTATCAGCCCAAAAATGTCATATCGGGTGCATCACTAATATTATTTAGTCTGACAACGCTCCACCGACTCTTCTCGTCATGGAGCGGGTTCTACCGTTGTCTTTCAAACGACCTCCGCATTCTACCGGTCAACGAACAATGTGACGTACTCACCGCAACGGATGTCGGTTAATGAGGCAATCGGCTGTTGAGCGAGGTGAAAATACATCATTTTTTCTAAATAAAGAACTTAAATACATCTATCTGCTCCTGATTCTAATAAAGTCCAAGTCCAAATAGTCCAAAATTGATGTAAAAGCTGTTTCAAACAAGCTGTCGCCATCTTGTTCCACTCCGTCACATCATCCTGCCCACCAAATGAATAGAGGGCCCTGATTGGCCCACAAAGCCAGTAGAGCACTGTGATTGGCCTATAAAGTGGATTGGTTTCCAATTATAGTCCTTTCTACCGATTTCAAACGCCTATAGAGAGCAGTGATTGGCCTGTCAGAATGCTGCTAGGGGGCTTTGGCGGTTCCAATGGAGCATTTTAGACCAAACTTTGCAAAGCAAGAATTTGGTCTAGTCCACTATAGGCTACATATGAGCGTTTCCCCGTCTATATTCTTTCTGCGACTAATGACGGAAAGAGGGGCACGAGGTAATTTTCTTACTCAGTCTGCATTTGAAACTCAGACTGACTGGCCGTATCAAGTAAAACGGATTTCTCACTGAACTTGCTCCTTAAAGAAGACTAACCTTACATTATAACAGTAATTTAGCTTGAAAAGAAATTACAACGGTAGTGAAATGTGTTTTCTTTACAATTCTTTATCTTTTTAAAAATTAGTAGCATTTAGTCTGAAAAGAGTTAGAAAAATGAAGAAACCAACTCAGTACAGTTAAAGATTAGTTCAAAGGAAATATGGAAGACAACCCAACATTATCCAGACCTGCTCTGTGTCCTGGTTCTGTCTCTGGATGACCTTCACTTGGAGTTTAACTACTTCCTGTCAGATGTGGATATATACACATCGTTTTTCTTCATTGTTTTAAAAGGTTTCTCCATGCAGTTCCATCCTGTTCTGCAGTTTTAATCAAAAGGAGCACAACTCATCTGACTTATACAATGTGGAAAAAGCAGCAAATGAACCAACAACAGCTCTTAAGATACAATTTAGCTGATATTTCAAATGTAATACTTTAGATCTACTGGGCTGTATTTAAATGTCCACGACAGTAACTATTAACTTGACGAGCTGACCTCTCCATTAAAACTATGGAGAATGATAAAACAATTTACACATATAATGAACATTTTAACACTCTTGAACTACAAATATTTACATAAGGTTTTTAGGTACATGCAGAAAAGTTAATTGAGACAAAACATGAAACAAAAGGCACCCAAACGAGAGTTTCAGTTATACCAACAATCCTCTTTTAATCTACGATTTAGCCTTGCTTCTTCTCTTCAAGTCTAAACTAAAAGATACACAGAAATGAAACGGAGTGAAAATACAAAAGCAAAGAGGGATTTTTCTTGAGTTGAGAAAAAATAAAGTGATCAAGAGGGAGCAACTGTGAGCAACTCACAATGTGTGAGAGTGTGAGAACGAAAGAAAAGGAGGGAAATGGAGATGGAGGTGGAAAGAGGAGAAAAAGAAAAGGGGAGAGTAGCTCGGCACAAAAGGCCTCGACATGAATGCTCCTCGACACTCGTTTCCGCACATCCCTTTCAATTTCAGCGCTCTAATGGGACTAGCTGCTCACTGCACCCACTCACACTGTGCACAAAGAAAATACACACACATGGGTACAAACGCACTGTAACACACAACTGCTTGTGAACACGTGCCAGTTGACACACGTGAATTTGAGCAAAATAGAAAATGCATGCATCACTCTGTCTTGGCCCTCCAACATCACACTTTGTGTGGGTGCATAAATGTGAATGTTTTTAAGTCAGATGCTGCTGCATCTCTTAGAGTGTGTCCATTTGTCAAATCATGCTCCTTCTGCCAATATGGATGTCAGCGAGTGCCATCAATCATAACAAGAGTGTGTGTGTGTGTGTGTGTGTGTGTGTGTGTGTCTCCAGACGAGGTCACAGATAAGGGCTGGCCCCCTGGAGGCCGACTGCTCCCTCCCACAGACAGGATGAGCATAAATTACTCCTCCACTTTAAAGGGAAGCATAAACACCAGGCTGTCCTCCAGCAGCGCAAACTCAGAGCTAACACATAAAAACTAGCTTGTATGGAGTTCCTTCTTTCTGCTGATGGCTGATACACACAATTGTAGAAATTAAAATGAGTGAATTCAGACTATTTCAGGCATCCTGGTGTATGGACTCATACAACATCCACATTTTATTGGCAAAGAAGGCACAAAGAAACTCATCAGCTTTTACAAACAAACCCTTTAAGGCAGATAAGAGAGTTAAAAGGATCTTACCTGTTTGTGCATCTCGATATTGAGCCCGTAGGACATCTCATAGTACTAAAGGAAAAGCAGAAGACAGAAAAAGGTTAAAGATAACGAGGATGAGAACAAGGATGCATACGAGCTTCATGCAACTGTATTTTATCATTGGGCTGCATGGTGGCACAGTTGTTAGCACTGTTGCCTCGCAGCACGAAGGTTGCAGGTTCGAAACTCAGCTGCAGCCTTTCTGCATGGAATTGTGTGTTCCCCTTGCATGTGTGGGTTTCCTCCGGGTACTTCGGCTTCCCCCACAGATCACAACATGCCCTATAGGTTATAAATTGGATTAAAGCGTCTGCCAAATAAATAAACAAACATAATTTTGTTGCTTCTTTCAGATTATAATGAGATTTTCTCTATTTGAGTTGATATTGAATGCACTCAACTTTAAGCTGTGTTTCCCAAAAGGTGCTTTCTAACCCTTAAAACTGAAGAATCTCTATAATCATAGATTATTGAAAACCTCACAATCTGTATTAGGACCTGAAAGAATGTGCATTTGCTTAAATCTGCAGGTTATTGCTTAAAGCCAGGCATCAAAGGAGTAAAAATCATACAAATGTTAAAATGTGACCATCTACATCCGTTGTTCTAGAAATTGAATTGGGGGCTGCACAAAATCACCATGGCCCAATCCCAACACTCGCACTGTGCCCCACGGTCTCCTGTGAAGTGCACTTGGAGGAAGTGTGCAGCAAGGCTTCTAGTGTGTGGTACACAAGTGTGCAAATAATTGCCGAATTGGGACGGCGACCGTCGACCACGACACATGCCAGGATGCCGGTCACTTATGAGGGCTGCACATGGCACCGAGTCGTACTTTGGATTTGCCTGTGTTCCGGTATTGGTATGTATAACCACCTCTACACTACGGGTGACAACAGCTCTACTCAAATGGTGTATTCAAGATTTGCATGAGGGTTTATTTTTCTTTGCTCATAATATAACTTCTGGAACAACATAAACAAATTCACTCCAAATACAATCACTGTCAAGACAAAACAGGCAGATTTCTAAGAACATCAGACTCAGACGAGCCAAAGTTAGATAAATGAACTTTAAAACAGTAACCACCTTAAAACCAACACGACACACAGTGGTGATTTCAAAGCCCAGCATCAAAAACGTTGATGCAACAAATGAATTCACGCAGGAGAAAAAGGGGAGCACGGAGAGAAAGGACTGCAGAGAAAGAAGCCTTTTTGTGTGCAAAAGTGTGTGTATGTGTGTGTGTGCTCCATGTTCATTGTTAATGAGAGGGCCACCTTCCAGGCGTCAACCCTGTTAATCACCCACTCTGTCCGCAGGGGTCTGGTTCTGTCACTGCAAAACAAACAACGCACTGCTCTCAGACATTTATGTCAGTCATTTGCTCTTACACACACACACACTGTTCAGTCTCACGCAGACAAGGTCTCACACACACGCACACACACACACACACACACACACACACGCACACACACACACACACACAGTATTCTTCTCCGTAGCTGCCCACGCAGAAACTCCCTAAAGTAATTACAGCACTGGGGAAATGGAGGTGCTGCCGCTGGCTTTGGGAGTGGGGCAACCTGATATGCTATTAGAGGAGAAGTGGGGAGGTCGCTGTGGGGATACAAGACCGGGCCTGCTACCGATGGATTGAAAGTGTGTGTGTGTGGCTGTGGATCTATGTGTGCTTTTAAATATGTGTGTGCCCACGTATGTGTGTGCATTTTCATCAGTAGAGGAAGAAAGAAGTCCAAAATATTGCATTAGGAATTCAATTTCATAGCAATATTTGGAGTAAAATCTAAAATATTCCTGCTACTGCAGGTCAGTCAGTGCCCAATTTTAACAACAAATTACAATCTGGTTTATTAAGATTCAACACATTATTATAAATGTCACATGTTTGAGAAAACCTCCCAACAGTTTAGAACGATTGAATGTGTAATAGCGCTAGGAACTTGCTACATGACAAATAAGATTTAAAAGTTTTTTGGCCGATACTGGTGAATAATGGTGACACTGCATTTTGGTCTGGGATTTTCTGCAGTTGCAGATCATACATGTGCTGCAGAATGAAATCATTTCTGCCCCAGATCCAATTTCAAGAGTTATTTAAGAATTCATATAAATGAGGACATGGTGCAAAAGGTAAGCTGTGGAAATGTGCTTTACTTCACCGCGTGCCAAGAGGCTGCCTTTTTGTTTAGAATTATGTCATCTGCAAAGAGCAAATGGGGAAAACCCTGCAAGAAGCAGAAAGTGTACATTTGCACACATTTGCAGTAAACGTTTCTCATATTCACTGACTGCGACATGCATCTGTGTTCTCCTGCTCAGGGACCTTTTTCTGAATTCACCGTTAAGTTTAGATCAACGTGTACTAGGGGTTGTATGAACTAGTCGACTCCACGGCTCTGTAGTGACTTTTTATGCCTGTCATCGACAAGTCGCTGTCACGTGATAATGACTGACAAGATGCAGTCCTCCAGCAGGTGATGAGCCCCTGCGTCGGGAGGTGGAGGCGACACGCTGTGCCAGAACGTCGGTACTGACACCGGCGGTAAAACGGACATTTAACCAAACTGTGACCTTTTCCCTCTTGCAATTTTACCTTCCCCTCATCCCCATCCTAATCTTAACCAGTTTGTGCATGCAAAGCTCTGATCGTTGACGCGCTCCAGACATCTGCGTCCTGAGCACCGCCAAATCAGGTGTCACCATCTCAAAAACAAATTAAACACTCGATCGTTCATGTCGGCTTATTTCCTTTAATGTTTTCTGTCTGTTATTTGTGCCTGATGCGTTTCGCTGCTGCGGAGCGAGGCTCTTCAACTGTTTTGTTCTCCGGTGACGCACCCCCAAGATTCCACCATCTCCGCTCCGCTCCGGCACGAACTCCGCAGCAAATACGGTCCCGTTGTAGTCGGCCGGCGAGCAGCGGCACTCCGCTGTTTTTGCGGTCGGTAGATCTTTTAGAACTGCAGTTCAAAGGTAACTCATAAGGTGAATATATATGAACCCAGGTAGCAGTTTTTCTTTAGGATTGAGAGGAGATGCAGAAAGATAATAAACAGGCAGGACAGAAAAATAGTCAAACAAAAACAAGTTAGTTTTTTTACCTGGTGGTTGCAACAAACAAACACCATTGAAGGTAATCAGAAGTGAGGAACAGAAAATGAAATAATTATTTTAATGTTTTTAGAGCAGCAGGAACTCAGAGAGGCTGCAGGCGCACCAGTTTGCAGGTGAATGATGTCATCAACGACTAGTCGAAGTCAACTCGATTTTCATTACTTGTCGACTTTAAAAAAAATTAAGTCATGCAACCCCTAACGTGTACATGAAGTCCAGAGAGGATGCTACAGACATTTCACATTGGCAGATTTTCTAGAACAATTCAGGGTTGCTGTGTGGAACAGGAATAATTTATAAAGGACTGAAAATGAGATATTTTTCCTACCTCTTTTTCATCTGTTAGCCAACAATTCCTATTACATGGAGAATTTGTAATGGCAATGGTTAGACAGCCTTTATTAAAAAGTACTTGATGAAATCAGTGTTAATTTTGACAAAACTTTTAATTATTTTTAGTCTTTTGACTAAAATAACTAGTAATTTTAGCCACAATTTAGTTATCCATTTCGTTTAGTTCTTATTTTAGTTGACTAAAATACATGTATTTGTCTTCTGATGCAATAATTTTCGACTTGAGTACAGGATGTATTTATTATACCAACTTGAAACTTTAAAGAAATATGTAAAATTCAGATTTCACACTTTGAATCATTAAAAATGTATATTTATATTTAATTTAATAATTATTATTTGAAAATACCAAAATTAACACTTACAGTTTAAAACTGTGCCTCTCAATATTAATGAAATAACAAATCTGTATAATGCACAGTGATATTTGTGAACATGACTGGAAATGACATCATACCATCAAAACTTCAAAATGTATTACACTAAAGATGTCAATAAAAATGCCTGTTAATATTCGTCATAAATTAGTCTTTATTGGCGTGTAGGTTTTTGTCTTGTTTTAGTCTGCAAAATTCATTCGTCACGAAATAAATAAAAGATAAATAAATAATTTAGTCAACAAAATCAACACTGGGTGGAATAATTATCTCTGGCCTTATTCATCCCTGAATCCATGTGATTGGTAGAGCCACCTGCAACCATTAAATGTGCTGTTGCTGAACTGAGTGAGGTGCACTTAGTCATGTTAGATTGTAACACTGTTAAAGGTGAACGTATAACAAACATAATCAAGCTGAGACAAAGCAGTGATTTAAAATAAATCACACCATAACTAGCACCTACACAATCTTAGAAATTATAAAATGTGCAATAAATGGTCTACTTGCAAAATGTGGTCTTTAAAGAAGTTTTAAAAGTGGGGTTTCTTCCCAACCTGACTGAGTTTGGAGGACATTACTATAAATCTAACTCTTCTTTCCAGGATTAAGGAAAACCTACAAAAATATTCTGAAACAGTTCTACTGGCTTGTTTAGGACTACAGAACCTGAGGAACCCCCAAACAAACACGACTGGACCTTCAAGGACTTGTTCTTTGGTTGCATCGATCACACAGATATTCAACTCATCCTTTGACTGTTTTTCCAGTGTTTTGCTTCACTTTCCGAAGCCAAACAATAAGAACAGTTATGGGCAACAGTTTCCTAAACATATATGTGTAGACAGAACACAGATTCCACAGAGACAACTGCAACCTTTTAACCATCTCCTCCAAGAATTTAGAAATGGTAGTGGCATACTTCACCCAGGAAACAAAACCATCCATAGCCATCCAACAGCAGCCAGAAGCCAAACATGGTGAGGTTTTTAAAAGGAATGAAATACAATTTCTGCCTCTGGTCTGTTGCATTTCCACTGATGGTCTCAGGCGAAAGGCAGTAAAATTAAATCTACTCAAGTGCGTCAGTTCTCAACAATCTTCGATGGCTGTCAGTCATATAGGAGCCTACAAAACCCCAAACCCATAGTATTTTGA